GAAAAGTGGGGGTCGTCTTGTACATGGGGCGTCTTATTGATGGAAAAATACGGTAATTTGGCCAAATACCCATTCAAAACCTTTTCAGCACCAAAGACAGCTCCTATGCCTACCTAGTTCCTTTCCATCCATTCCTTCGAATCCATTTCCCTCTCTTGGTTTGCTAGTTAGTTTAATTGTGTTTTAGCAACTTTTCCTTCCATTTAAACTTTGACTAGTTAGCTAAGTTTCCCTTACCCATGGAAGGATTGTTAATCTCTTCAAAAGCAGGATGAATATACCTGAAACAGAGGAGCAACGGCATTACCTACTGCCTGGGGACCTCATAACTACGTTCAAGAATATTATACTCCACTCATGAGGCTTCCATCAAAATGACTTTCACTTTAGGGGGAAAACGAAAGCCATTTTTCCCCATCAAAACAGTTTTTTTCTCCTTGTTTTAATGGCATTAATGATTATGATTGTTTTGATAGCCCTGTTGCATGTTGTCCAGAGCTGTTAAGGAAGAGGTAGCATATATATTTTCTAAATGAATAAATAAATCAGAAAGAGAGAATAGATGCAGAAAATATTGACACTGCGTTATTGGGAATTAGGATGTGCATGAAGAAAACGTGGTTTCTTTCAAATCCATATTAAACATGCATTCTGGAAATTCTGCCAACTGTTCCAGGTTCTCTGTGGCTTGGTAGAACCCAAACCAGGGACATTTTGATTATTTCACATTTCAGCCTACGTAAAGTCTGTAGGTAGTTAGTACAATGAGCAGGGCAAGGTTGGTGAACCTAACCTGTCTCCCTCCTCTTCTTCTTCTGCATGATCTCTCCATCAGCCCACTAGCCTCCCTGGCTTCCACACTTCCATTCCCAGAATGTCTTTTCTATACAGCACACCTCCTCAACTGTCTTCCCACTGATTTCCTTGGCTTTAAGTGTACATCACCCACCCATTGCTTGATCTTTCCATGCCTTTCTTCCCTACTCCCCTTAGCTGCTAAAAATATCCTGTTTTTTTTCCTTCTGTTCCCACCCAAAATATTTCTGCCCTACCATTCAGAGAGGGACCACCCAAAAGTTACTGTTCTGTGCAAGGAACAGTTTGTGTAGGGGTGTTTTGTACCACTCTACTGGAAATGAATTTATGCTGCTGTGGAAAGCTGACTCCCTCTCAACTACCCAGCAGAAACATCTTATACAGGGGTGTGGAGTACCAATTTTAATGGATCGCTCTAGCTTGCTTTCTGAAGAATGCCACTCAAAAATCTTCCATTTTGAAAGGCTGTCTACACAGTCCTAGAAAGCCTGCACAGCAGTAAGTAGCCACTTAAGAAGCCATAAACAATGCGAGAAATCTTGAAATGATAAAGCTTCCACTCCCAGAATGTGGGAACCACCGATTTGTTTTCTTTTCAGAGTGAACAGTGAGAATGGCAGCAGAACTGACACTTGTTTGATGGGAACAATCAAACTTTGGTTAGCACCATGCATTTGGTAAGCATTTGCCTTGACTGTATGCAGGGTGGGAAAAAAGCACTCTGGTAGCAACAAAGTCTTCAGTCCACATAGTATGGTTCCTACAAGACATTTGACCACAAACGTTTGCCCCATTTCTCCTCTACTATTCTGCTCTGCCCTCCAGATTACATCTCTCCAAATTCCTGCAGGCCACACTGAGCTGCTTTTGACATGAAGAAGTTGGTTATACGGTACCTAAAGCTCAAAATTCATCTGTAGAGTTCTTCTGCAGATGAACTCAATACAAATCAAAAGGAACATCCCCAAATCCTATTGGTATAGTACTTCAGAAAGAGCCTAACCAACACATTGAAAGACAAGAAAATGGATGTCCTTGTTTAAATATGTTATTCTTCAGTGAACCATGCAAAATATTTTAATCATGCAAAAATAATTCATTTTTCTACAGCTTTCTTTCCCCCTGCAAAGCAGGCTTTTTGGCTCTCTCCCTTCTCCATCTTCCCTATCTCAAGAGGTCCATCCTGAGGTCTCCCCTTGGGATTGAAGGGAAATGTGGGAAGCTGCAGATGGCTAGAGAGAGGATTCTACAACGTAAAACAGGACACTCACTCACAAACCTCAGCCTTTCAATAATTTATTGAAGTACAGAAACACCTTAGCCCAGACATCAAAATTCCACCAATGTTGTTGCTTGGCTTTGGAAACAAAATAAAAAATGACCCCAAAAGATGCAGAAGAAATGTTCAGCTCATTACAAATGTCATCCATCTAACCCTAACCCTGTCCCTAAGGACAGATCACAGTAATGTACAGTTGAGGATTCCAGAATCAAAGCAGGCAATGCGCTACAGAACCCCACAGAACAACCGTCATCAATCACACCCATGTTTTAATAAACAAGACCTCCAACCATAGCTGGACCCCAAATGAGCCACATGACTAACTAGGAAAGGCTGTAGAGTTTGCAGATGGCAGGCTGTCTCTTGTTACCCATTTACCATCCTGGGTGGTAAAAAGAAAGGAAGAAGCCACTCACCATGACAGACACATGTACAATGTGCATCTGTTCATCCACAATTTCTGAAGGCTCTTGCAGGCTTGGTGGTGTGGCCCGGGAAAGTTGCTCAGCACTGCTCATGGACACGTGGAAGTAGAGGGTGCCGTTTTCCAGCCATTGCTGCTTCCAGTGCACTAATGAAAGGTCCGATACTGTTCCTGACATTTCTGCAAGAAGATAAATGTAACTATGGCTTAGTATTTATATATTGCTCAAAGTGCTCCGTGGTTAATCTCACAGCCATTCTTCATCATTCTGAACTGCAATTTCAATTTTAAGCTTGCACGGTTTGCATTGGTCACCCATTCCCCCTTTCTTATCTCGTCCATATTTTTCTCCTCCATGATCTTGCCCTGCAAAACCCTTGGAGGGAAGACCTTGTCTATTTTGACTCCTAAAACGTTGACGTGCTGACCTGCTAGAAAAATTGGAACCAATTATAATTAGAATCAATGCAACAACTGGCATTATTATCATCATCTCATCCTCTAATAAAGGAGCTAACGCTGAGAAAGGCAGAGAAAAAAGCCTACATTGAAATGGGGAATTATATTCTTTCCTACTTGTGAATCTCATCAGGCACCTACTGGGACCAATTGTATTGGCCAGTTTGGGGATAATGAAAAACCATTCCCTGTTATATTACTGAAACTTTTGCTTCTACAAGAACAGAGGGTTTCGCTTCTCATTAGCCAGAATACCCTTTGATATCTAAACAAAGGGGACCATTGCTTGTTTAAACTCTACTGAATGAAAATCCAACAGAAGTCCGTGTATTCCCATTATGCCTGAATCAAGCAAAAGGGTGGAACACAACTTTAAATCAAAGCAAGTCCTTCTCTTGCCTGGATGTTTCACTTTCAAAACTGATTTCAGAGGAGTTGGTGAATATTGATCAGTTACTCCGATTCTACATTATTTATATTAACTATATAATCCTGTCTGATTTAGAGACAACTAGCGATTAACTGCACAAAAGGAGGAATATCCAGGTCATATGGGCAAAAAACAGTTTCTCCTTCCAGAGGGAGCACCTACACACTCTTAAAAAAACACTCAGATGCTTTGAAAAAAATAGCTCCATTCCATGTCTTCTACCTACAGTACCTGTGGCTAGAAAATTACAGAGTCCTTGGGAAAGACACACAAACAAGGAGACAACAAGCTTCAGTGCTCCAATGTTGAAAAATTCTGCTAAGGTCTAGATCCCACAGTCTTTTTGCTCCAAAACCAGAAGGGTCCCCCCCCCCCACTTTCCTCTATAGAAATATTTGCACCCTTGCTACATGCTATTCTGCCCATCGGCTCTGATCCTCTTTTGCACCTTTCTTTAAAATTATTACTTTGCTTAAGCTGCTGGAACAGAAGCCAACATAGAAAATCAGAGGCTTTTGCAAAGGGTTTAGCTCACCTGCCCGTCAGACTGCTTTCTTCCCTCCCCATTCCAGACTCAAAACTCTCCCCCACCCTCTCTACAATTGATTGAAAACTAAGGTGTCATTTTTGCTCTTGGAAAAATTCAAGGTTGAAATAGTCCATCATACTCCCTTACTTGGCACAATGGCTAATTATTTTATTGACATCTCCAAGACAGAAGCATTATAATTAGAATCCCCAAGGAGGACAGTTGGTGGCCCTAGGCACTGATTATATTCCTAGCAACAAAGAAGGCATGCAGTGCCTGTCTCTAGTGACCATCTCTGAATCTTCTGGGAGAACAGAGAAATAGGTCCTTATTAACAACACTTAACTTCTATTCATTTGCAATGGGTGCTGGCAACTTGATCCAGCCTGAATGTGGCATTTGCTAGCTTCAAATGTATCAGTGCTGCCAGCTCTGTAACTTCTCTCAAGGGTCGTCCAGTTCCATAACTTTTGTGTGAGACCAGCTGCTTTGGGTTCCCACCAACTATAATCTCATCAATCACCCTAGTTGTTGCTATTTAAATTTTTCTCATTCCAGCAGATCATGGTAGAAGCTGTAAATAAGGATTAGGGTCAAAGCTCACTTTTTTCTTCCTCCTCCCCTTCTGGGTCTGACAGTTAGACTGCAAACCTGCAGGCAGAAACTTCATGCTTCTAATATTTTAGACCACGTTATGGGGAATTCTTTGGGGCTAAGGAACAGGGCTCGTTTGTGCTTTTTGGCGCCTTTGAGTCAATTTTGACTCCCAGCAACTGTCTGGATATGTCTCCACTGTTTTATCAGCAACATTTTCAGAAATGGCTTGCCCTTGCCTTCTTCCTAGAACTGAGATGGAGGGGGACTGGCCCAAAGTCAGCCAGTTGGCTTCATGCCTAAGGCAGGACTAGAACTCACAGTCTCCTGATTTCTAGCCTGGTGCCTTTAACCACTACACCAAACTGGCTCTCAAGGAACAGGATAGGACTCCTTCCAATAAATCCTACTTACATTGAATGAAGGTGTCCCCCACGTCCCTCCCAAATGCTCAACTGTAGAATTTCTAGCTCCACCATGGCTGCTGACTTCCCTTGAAATCATCCTTAGTTCATCATCGCTTCCTCCTTCTCACTTTGCATTCTAGCTCCCCTCCTTTAAAATAATAATTTTAAAAAATTCAGACTATACACCTCATGGGCACATACAGCATTGCTCTTGTTTTCAGTGCAGCATCTGTGATGTAAATGGTGATAAACAAACATTAAATATTAATGCCGATGGTGAACGCCAGTATAAATTAGGTAAGATTCGCCAGTGGTACACAGAGAATGGCAAATTCTCTGGCTGGATCACAGATTCTTTAAGGAACAAATTCAGATCAATTCCTGGTGACTTCATGGACATGGAGGTGCAGGTTTTGGTTTGTTTGGGAATGATGTGGGTGTGATTTCTCATTGCCTTCTTCTGTTTTTCACTTCCCAGTCTAACTTATAGCTCTGGTTTTCCTTGTGGATTCCCATCCAAGTACCAATCAAGTCTGTCCCTGCTTAGATTTTTCAAGATTAGCCAAAGTCAGCTAAGTGTTATCATCTGGTGTAACAGCATCTTAGAAGCGTTCGCCAGAGAACAAAGAAGGAAGAAGAATAGTGGTTAGAGAATGCCAAATTGGAATCAAAATCTAATTGGGGTGTGTGTATGTGTGTGTGAGAGAGAGAGAGAGACAGAATGAATGTGTGTGACAAAACTGATGAGGCAAAAACCAGTGGGTTCCCACAATATTGTTGTCAACATAGATCAACGTCTTGTCATTAAGACAATAGCTAAGTTTCCACTGAGTCAGGAGGAGGGAAGGAATCCGAAAATCAAAACCCTGTTGATAGACCTAGATAAAGACTGTGTTTTCTGTCTACTGCAATAGAGAAATCTTTGTGTATGTGGCTTCGTTCTCATCTGCAGCAAAAAGGCTAATCTTGCCAAGTTGGATCCGCGAGCCTTCTACTGAATCAGCCTGAATAAAGAATTTAAGTGCCTGAACAGTCAAGATTTATAGCTATGCCTGTGTGAAGTCTGACAGCATGAGCAAAACTCCTACTGGAGAGAAAACTGTACTCGTGTTTATCCATAATGGCACGCCATTGTTTACTAACCAGCATGCCACAGTACATAGCCAGATCTCTTCCTACTTTCTCAACATCAAGCACAGCTTTGATTTCCATGAAACTCCAGTAAGAAAACAAGCTCACTCTTATGTCTGAGCCATCTCTTGGCTTCCCATGTGCACCCAAGACGGGAATCACAAGCCAGTTTCTTGACCCTGGCTTCAGATGATGTATTTTGTTGGTGGAGGGAAGAACCAGCAATCCCAATTGAAATGTTGCGCTAAGAGATTGAGTTCACAGATGGCACTAAACGATAATCATTTTATTGGGTTTGGCCTTGGAAGATGCTCTGAACATAGCCACTCTGGTTTGGAAACTGATTTATGATTTACCTGTTGTGTGAACCCAGCCAATTGTCTTTTGTTAAATAAATCACAGCTTATTACTATGGATGAAGCTAGTGAATTTTTCTCCCAATGAATTTTGGGTTGTTGGAGCCAATTCGTGCCAGGAGTGGCCAGACATGCAAGATATTTATTTAATCTCTGCTAACTGTATCACCTTTGCACACACCTGATCCTTTTTATTTTCTTTCTTTTCTCTGATATATTTATTAAAAAAGACTAATTAGACATGTATCACCCTCTACAGCCTTCTTTAAAAAATGAGAGCTTCCTTATATTATGAAACCTGAGAAAACTGGTAGGTCAAGTATGAACTGTTTTATCTCTTCTCTGTACAAGGAATGTATGCAAAGTAAACCTAACTAGGATGTTTGATTTATGTCTTAAGGTTTGTTCACCAACTCTGAAGGATGATCTGAGAAACTGAGTTTGTGTATGGCGTGAGTTCTTCTTTGTACTTAAAACTAAGATCATTCCTTAGCTTGTTCCAAAGAGGAACTCTCCAAAGGGAAATGTAGCATAACTGCAGATACACTTGAAAATAGTACGAGTTGCGGCAGTTTGCAGAAAATAAAATACAATTTCTTCTCCTTCACTTCCAAATGGTTGCATTAATTATCAGGGCAAAGCTCATTCACCAGTATGAGCAAATTGCCCTTCATTTGTGCTCAAGATGAAAATGGCACATTTCAATCTTCTGATATCCCAGCATTATATTTACACCCCTCAAGGAAGAGAGGGAGGGAATAGACCCATACCTTCCCATGTACTTTGTGTCAAAATATTACAATATTTGTTCAAGACGCCAATCCAGTTGAACTGATCATGAGCTTCCCCAATAGAATATGATTCAAAGAGTTTCCTGGTTATCTGTTGGGTTGTCTTCTCTCAGAAAAGGAAGGGAGACAAGGAAAAAGAGATATACAGACACCGCAGCACAATGCCTTTTGCTTGATTTTGTAAGTCTGCTGCCCCTCCACCATTCCTCTAATCCTTAAATATCAACATTTCATCTAAATTCTCAAGTTGCACTGCAATCAAACTGAAAAGCACGAGGGTTTAAATGCATTTCGTCAGGAACCAAGATTATTCCCATAAAAGCAGATTCTGCTGACGTCATGAATATAAAATGAAACAGTAGATATTAAAGGTGGAGAAAACGCTGG